GGGGGGGGGTCTGAAATTATATCCCTAGTAGCAGTACTAATACTGGAAAAAAAGTTATAACCCCAAATCACTTTCCAGTATGATTTATCCAGGCTGCAGTGAACAAGAGGGTGCATTTGGAAAATACTGCTTATCTGGACTTATTTCAACTGGGCTTTCAGCCAGCCTGTAGAACTGAGATGGGATGTTAGGTGACCTGTATTTAGAAATGAAAGGGAATGGTGTAGCTCTATTAATTCTCCAGTATCTCATTGTCACTTCCAAATGCCATTGATCATCCTGCATTATATGGCACATTTGGCCCACAGTCCACATGTAGCCCCCTCTTTCTTTTTTCTAGTTCCCAGAGCACCCAACATTATATTGCCAAAATTTAGCAACATTCATGTAAAGTTTTTTTTTTTTTAACCTATCTGTTCAATCATATCCAATTCTCAGAGACTGCCTGGACAAGTCCCTGCAGTTTTCTTGGCAAGGTTTTTCAGGAGTGGTTTGCCATTGCCTCCTTCCTAAGGCTGAGAGAGTGTGACTGGCCCAAGGTCACCCAGCTGGCTTCATGCCTAAGGAGGGACTAGAACTCATGGTCTCCTGGTTTCTAGCCTGGTGCTTTCACCTCTGCACCAAACTGGCTCTCATGTAAAGATTACATTAGTTTATTTGGCAATTTTCTATGCTTTTTTTTTTGTAGGAAAAAAACAACAGGTCCATTAATCCTTTGTTATGTTTATTAAACTTACTTGGCTTTTAAAAACACTCCAAACCTCCAAAATGGGGAGACAACCTGAAGTTTTATCTGAGCTCCCTCTAAAAAGGTTATCACATGACCATAGCATCACAGGAACTTTTTAAAAAGTGCAGCCTTTGGCCTAAAAGGAATTTTTACCCATGATCTACAAAAAGCCATGAGAGCAAATTATCTAGAATGAGACATCACCAGTATGCTAACAACACTCGGGTCTACTCTGCTTTGCCATCTAGTTGAGCACCATAATCAGAGTTTAAGTTTGATAATGGACTGGATGAGTATATGCAAGCTTACATTGCATCCAACTCATGTAGAGATAGAGCTCATGTTGGTCAGTAGGAAGCCAGACAAGGAACTCTGGTTTCAGCCTATTCTAGGCAGGGCCGCACTCCTGCTGAAAATAAAAGCGCACATTTGAGAGGGCCTCTTGAAGCTCAGCTGTCTTTTTGGGCTTCCAGAAAGTGGCAAGAGGTATCTTTCCATAACTGTTCTGGCTGCAAGCCTTCTGGAGCAAGGCAAACCTGGCAACACACATCTATAGCTCAGTTACATGATTAGACTACAGCAAGATGTGCTTTATTTGAAATACCCCTTTAAGAAAATTCAGAAGTTTTAATTGTAGTTTAGCTACTGCATGATCCCTGGAATATATTGAAAAATCACAGATAGCTGCCAGTTATTTTCCAGGCACAGTTCAAGACAATGGTTTAAAGCTTTGAAGCTCCACATAATTGGTTTTACACATACTTAAAACACACACACACACACACCTTTTTAGCTGAGGTTCATATCTCAGTGACCTTGTTCCACAACACACTTAACTTGGTGGAAGGGGGGGGGGCTTAATGTCTTGTGGGAACACCAAAATGGTGGAATTTAACCCTAAATGCATATATAACATTAAATTCAGTAGTCAGGTTGTGGAAACATCTGAGCCTAGTCACAGCAACGTCTGCAAGAGATATCAAAATCTACAAGAGATCAAAATCCACAAGCATCATGATTGAAGCCCACCCCTTTGGTACATGTGTTGATATCACATGCACTTACAAAGGGATGGGGCTCCAGTCATGACACTGTGCCCACCATCTTGCAGATTTTTATCTTTACCCCCAGCAGATGACAGTCAGCTGATTTGTTTTGCGTACCTTATCTTTAAAGAAAAAGAATTGGAGGGAAAGAATGACTGAAAAAGCAAGAAAATCCAGAAGAGAAGTCACTGCTAAGCTTTGGGAACATAGAATACACTTCCCAAAGATGGATTGGCTGCAGCACGCAAACCAGACTTACTGCTAATTTCCTGACCAAGGGGGCAAGCAATGCCTTGCCACTGCTGTCTCTGGGACTTCCTGGAGCCAATGGGTGGAGACTCTATTCCCAAACGGTGGTGGTTTTCCTTTTTTCCCCCATTTAGTGCAACTATGGGCTCCCAGGACCACCAGTAAGGAGATTTGTAGTTGACTGGAAACAGGGCTGGTATGTACCTACTCAGGTAATAAAGTTAGAAGGCAAAGCCTGCTAAAGATGTTCCCAATTTCGGGGGGTTTCAGTTAAGCAAACAGGAAAGGGCCTTCTCCTTCATCACTCTCCTGCACTGGAACAAACTCCCTAAATACACACATGCACACACACATACATACCACTTCCCTATTGTTGCCAAAACTACATGTATGCACCCATAAAAACCAATAGAAGTTGAATTCTACTCAAAGAAGACAAAGTAGATAGCAAAATAATCTCATTTCTACAATTAGCTGTGCATAACAGGAAGAAAACATATGCATAAAGAAGTTTGCTAGTGAGCCTAGATATATATTACAGATAACTCAGGTGGAGTCTCAAAAGATACTGAGCACTGTCTCAGGTAGCAGATAGGATGTGATCACACATGCCTATTTCCTCTTGTCTAGCCTTTGCTGCTGCACAGTTCTTTCCCATACTCTAGATACATCTGGATTAGGACTATGGAGATCTCACCATCCGCTGGGCACTGTAGCTCATGCTGGCTCTCTGCCACTCCTCTGAAGATCTGCTACCAGGTCTTCTGCTATTCTTCAACAAAGCCAAGCCCTTGCCATCTTAATAGAGTTTTTTCAGCAGGTAGCACTGCTAGGTGAATAAAGAAGTGGGAGAAAAGAAAGAACTGGATTGGATCAGACACTTCTCTTGGATAGGAAGAGTGGAAGGGTCCCCCCTTCAACCTTTGGCTCAAATAACAGAGGGGCAAATTAACTGGGGAGGAATTAAAACAGGGGGGCTGGACAAAAGAGAAAATTAAAACAAAATAGACATTCAGCATTTTGGACCGGACTTGTGTGGAATACTTGCTTACTTTCCTTCTTTAAAAACACTTCTGTAGATTCAAGGAGTAAAGTCAGAATGGTTTAGTGTTTGAGGCTGATCTTCACTGAATGACCTTTCTGACCTGTCATTGGAGGATCCAAGGTTGGAACACAGAGGGACGTTGGCCATAGAGAAGCTGCTTGCCCTGCCCTCAACACATATTTTGCTCCCCCATATTCAGACTGAATGTCTGAATAGATCTAGAAAGAAAAAAAAATGGATGTTCTCTGAGGTTTTGAAATTGTAACTCCCACAGTCATCATTTTCAAGTTCCTCTTTTCTAAGGAGTTAGCTGCATGGGATGTTAAACACTTATTTGGGAAAAACAAAAACAAAAAACAGGCACTTGACTATAATTACTCTCTTCTCTGCTAAGGATTTGTTAGAGAAATAATGTATCAAACTATTATCAGACCACAGGTAAACTCAAGTGACCCCGCTTACTTTTCTGATCATCTGGTATGCCATTAAATTTGGCTAAAGGATGAAGCACTGGAAAGAGATGAAACTAGGGTTGAGAAGTATAAAATTCCATCAAAATTTACAGATGTGAATTGTATGGGATATTTTTTTTCTCTCTGCACATTTCCACCTTATTTTCCCACATACACATTCAAAGCTCTTTATCATCCATACACATGATGACATTTCCCACTTAACACATATCCTGTTCACACATTTGCATTTCTGTATTCTCTTCAAACAGTTGGTGAGAACATAAACTCACTTACTTACTTATATTAAGGTAAGTAAGATGGCACTGATGGTTATTCTCTTCCAAAGAATAATACATTCTGCTGTTTGATTCACTTGACCCCTTCATAAGAATTCACCACATATAGTACTTCAAAAACAGATTTTTTTTCTTCTTCTTGTTAATAAAGTTACAATAAAAGTCATGTAAAAACAAGCAGATTTTAAAGACCTTTATCAGAAAAATAAAAATACAGAAAAATAAGTTACAAAAGCTTTTGAAAAATCATATGGCAATCTATTCCAATACTATTCCGATAGTGATAAGTATTTCGAAAGGCAGGAAGGGACAGAATTGGTTCATAATAGTTAACAGCATTTTGAAAAGATTGTTAACCTTAACTGAACTAGTTATTAGATTTCTGAAACTTTACTTGGAAGATTTGTATTAAATCCTAAAACAGCAAAATAAGAAACTATGACTGTTGATGACACTTCCCCTTTCTTTTATTTCATTTTTCCTTCTGCAGCTCATCTGGAAAGATTATGTTTTCTTTGCTCTCCTAATCCCTCAATTAGCTTTGTGAGGCTTTTTATGCCATCGGAGCCTGGGCAGATGTTGAGAGTGCACAGAGCAGCTGTAAAGTGGAAGACTCTAGAGAATCCTCAATCAAAACTTTTCGTAACAACTCTTACAACTGATTTCTGCTGTTTGGCTGGACTTAAGCGTATGTTATTGCTGACAAAGCTGGGGAACAATAGAAAGATACACTTTTAGAAGAGCTATTGTAGTCCAGAAGTGCAGCTTTACAGCCAAATTACTAAAGGATGTTTGTACATTTTCCAGCTGTACATTTTTAAAGAAAGCCAAGTAAGAAAATGCTCACCCAAGTAAGAAAATGCTGGTATGTTCCAGGAGTACGGGAAAGCCAAAACAAACGAATGATAAATCAGAAAAGGTCAAGCAGAAGCAACAGATGAAAACAGCCACCAGCCAGGGTAAACCCCCTTCTTCAGACACTTGCTTGAAGATTCTTGAAGACTAAATGCAGGGTATTTTAAAAGAAATGGCTTTCAGTAAAGGCTACATCCTCCTGTCAGTCAAACACTGCATAGTTTCATCTAGGCATGAATCCAAAAAGACATGGAATCATTCTATTTTTGTCTCCCATTGCAGTGGAAACATTTTTACAGATTTGTGGCAAGGGCCTGAATTTTTATGGTGGTCAGTTAGAGGAGGAGAAATGTAATTAAAAGCTCTGGTAAGGTTAAACCAGCCCAGAGAAAAAGGACTGAGCATTTTTAAAGAGCAAGATAAGTTAAAATGCAGTTATTTGCAAAAGCCAATAGAAAGTCTGGAACTCATTGCTAAAAAAAAAAAAAGACACTTGTGATATACTTGAAAAATCTGTAATTGCAACTGTAATTTACATAACTGTGACGTATAGCTTAAACTTCAGTTTGTTTAAAATTATATTCTTGGCAAATTTATATGCACAAACATAAAAACCTGTATATCTTCCTAATATATTTTGTATGGGAAGAAGGCATTTGGGAAACATTCAGAACTAACGAAACAGAATCTGATCTGTGATAGCTTAGCCATCACCATTTGTCTAGTATACTAAACTTCTGGACTTGGAAAACAAAATGCAAATGTGCAGGAGCAGCACTGGTAATGTTTCCACCAGTGATATTGTCACTCTTTATATTCTCAAATGGGAGGAAGAGTGATCCCTTATTTTATTGGATTGGAATCCCCTGATTCTTTTCTACTCCTCCAAAACATGCTCACTGACTACATCAAGTTGAAGCTTTCCTGCTAAACACCATTTGACGATTAAAGTCCAAAAAAGAAACAAATGCCCATCAAATGTCCTATCCAACTTGGCTGGAGCAAAGTGGCAGGACATTGGAAGCACTTGATTGCCTGTCATAGTCTTCCTTCCACTCTTTCAGGTTGTTCTGTCTACAAAAGGACTCTATGTTTTTAGTGAGTCCTAACGAATATTGTGGGACTTATTACATCTGTAATAACTGGCTATTATTACAGGAAGCTCAGAGCTAAATCACTTTCTTTTCCAAAGGCACTTGACATTGCTTAAAATGAATCTTAGAGTTCACTTAGTATGAAAAAAAAAAAACCAGTTCAAAATAAAACAAATATACTCTGATCCCTTCACATATCAACATATCAAGGTATATGTGGATAAGACATGAAACATACTCCTCCTTCAGTGGTAATTCCAACTCAGTGGTAATATCCATACATCTTAAAGTTCTGCTTGATGCAAACATGTCCATTGCTCGTTGACAACAGCTCTGGTGTGTGCTTATGAATGAAGCTTCACAGAGGACACACTAAAAACAGATATTTCACATACCAGTATGACACTCACTCTGATCTGAAGATCTATGTATGTAACACATGGATTGCACAAATGATGTGACTGCTTCCCAGGTCTATATCCTAACTTCAAGGGAGGTCATAGGTCATCAATTGTGTCTTTTGACTGATTTTTCTGAAATGACCTGAAATTCAGTCATGAGATTGCTTTGATAATTCATGGTTCATCCCTTAGCAAATTGGGGTAAACAGTCAGGGCAAGGTGGCTCTCTTTGTGAAGCTCTAGCAGTAACTGAAAGAGTCTTTGTTTTTTAAGCAGCAAGAGTTTCTGCTTAAGACGTTACAAGGCATTAAAGGATAGAAATAAGGGTGATTCTATTGGGAGGCGTGGACTGCAATCCTAACATATGATCCAAATGTCTCCATTGACAATTACTAATTATGGCCATGATATAGTGCATTTTGGATCAAAAGCAACATGCCTGTTGTTGAGGAGCAACAGCCCAGGAAAGCTCTTGTCCTCGTGTCCTATGTGGTTTTCCTTACAAATCTTAGTTGCCCACAGTGGAAACAAGGTATTTTTTACTTAATTCAACATAGTTGTTGCTGTCCTTATTTATCTTATTTTTATATTCCTCTTTTCTAGCCGGAAAACAAGTCACTTTCTCTAGTCTCTCTTTTGACACTGCTGGATGGTTTTGCACTGGGGGTAAAAAAGTTAATTTTCTTTTTCAGTCCTCATTCCCTCCCTTGAATCGATAGAAGTTCAGTCCCAGAATGGACTGGTGTATGCACATACCTATAAATGTTTGTCCATGGACTCTGAGACAGATGTCCTGCAGCACTGAGAGTTTATTGCTGGATAATTACATTTTTCTTACTATATCTTCAGCAAAAAATAATGGCTGTCTTGGATTTCAAGTCAACAGAAGACTGTCTAGGGCAAAGCAAATGAATACAGTTTACAGAAAAGCTAGTACTTTCCATCAACACCATGTATGACCCACAATTCATTTCCCCCAACTTTCCATTTATTTCTATACTTATATTTCTTGTCTGACATCCAAGGAAATAACATAATTGAATTATTGCCCTGCTTGCTGGGCCCCATCCTGTCTCCACCAGAACTTCACGCCTAGAAATATATACTTGGAAAATAATATGCATTACTTCTTTTTTTATCCCGGTCCAGTAATCTACAGTTTGAAGAAAAGGAAATGCCACCCTTTTTCTTATCATCACTACTGATCCTGTTTTACACCTCAACAAGTAAAAGATGCAGAAATTACTTAATTACCCTTCATGCTGTTTCTGTAGAGTAACCACAAAATGACCATGCTTTACCAGTAGCATTGTTCAGGTGGTCCCTGGATTAAGAACGCCCAGTTTATGGATGACCCATAGTTAAGAACGGAGCCTACTATAGCAAAATGTGAGTTAAATACACAATGATTTGTGCTAAATACACAATTGTTCAAGTTCATTACACAATACTACTTGTATAGTATTATACAATAATACTGTTCTGGCTTACATACAAATTCAACTTAAGGACAGGTCTTGGGAACAGAACCCTTTCTTAAACTGGGGACTACCTGTATTGGAACAATGCTGTTTACTTCATAGATGCAGCAAACACGTAGGCCAGATCAGTCAGTTCTTATTGCTGATAGAATTTGGCTGGCTATCAGCTCAGACTTTGCCTCAGAAGACTTCTGGTCATCCTTTGTCACCCATTTGACAAAATAAATACTGTCCAGATCAAACTTTTTCAGGTAATAAAGCAAGAAGGCTGAATGTCATTCTGCATACTGGGTACACAGTGCTCCTTCCAAGATCTGTCTAGAGCAATGTTTCTCAACCTTGGCAACTTGAAAATGTGTGGACTTCAACTCCCAGAATTCCCTGATGGGGAATTCTGAGAATTGGAGTTCACACATCTTCAAGTTGCCAAGGTTGAGAAACACTGATATAGAGCTTATTTTAAAGAACTTTCTAATAAAGCTATGCTTCAGCTCAAGATGAACCCTAATCCATTGCAGATTCTTTTTTCAAATTTATGTTCTGGTTTTCTGCCCATAGGGCACTTTAGAACAAACTATTACTTGCTGCAGGTGAAACAGATGCCTCTAACCCAGGTTGTCTGAATTAAGAAATGTCCATGAAGCTCCAACCCTGATATGTCACAGCAGCTATGCTAAAGGAATCCCTAATAAATAAATGGTGCTTACTTAAGTAAAATGCCTGGGGGGGGAGGAGGAGCGGGGAGGAGGAGATATAGTCAATTCAATGCCCAGGAGCATCAATCTTCCAATCAGGAAAAAGAGAATAGATACAAAGAGAGGAACTAAGGGGAAGTTCTTTGCTTGCTATCAGTGATCTCTATGCAGTTACAAGTACAGGTAGTCCTCAGTTAACGATGGCAATTGGGACTGGAACTGCTGTCGCTAAGCGATGCAGTCATAAATAGCTATGTCACATGACTGCGCCACTTAGCAATGGCAATTCTGGCAGTCCTGGTTGCTGTCGCTAAACCAATCACTGTGGGCTGTTAAGTGAGGATGTCACATGATCGCCATTTGCAACCTCTTGCCGGCTTCCCCATTGACTTTGCTTATCAGAAGCTGGCAAAGAAGGTCGCAAATGGTGACCACGTGACCAAAGGATGCTGCAGCCTCATAATTGCAAGTCAGTTACTGAGTGCCCAGATTGCAATCACCTGACTACAGAGACACTGCAACAGCTGCAACTACGAGGACTAGTCGTAAGTACCATTTGTTCAGTGCCATCACAAGTTTGAACAGTCACTGAACAAGAGGTCATTAACCAAGGACCACCTATAGAGATAGAAAGCAAGGAACTCCTTTTAGCTGACACTGCTTCTGGAGCTTCATCTCCAACCAACTGATTCTCCTTTGTGGTTTTTCAACTTCCCATTCTTCTCATTTCTCACCTCTTGCCTTCTTTTCATTGCAGCTCTCATTTTAAACTTCTATAAACACAATAATTACAGTTTTACTTAACCTTATCTCCTATTATCCCTCCCACAAATCATTAGCTTCTTATTTATTATCATTTTTCAAATAATGCTGTGTTGTGTGTCTCTCTTCTTCCAGTTTTTTTCTCCTTTGAAGCAGTCCCCAGCCCTATGCTTCTCATTTGGCCCTACTGATTTGTGTTTTATTTATTGTTCAGCAGTATCATCTTCCTTCTTTTTCAACACTATTAGCTTATGACTAGACAGCATGTAGAGTTGATGGAAGAGACCGAGGATGGGTGAGCAGGTCTTACATTGCTAAGATAAAAGCCTACATTTGAAGCTCCAATAGCACAGCACTTATGGTCCAAAGCCACCCACCCAATGCAGTGAAGTTCAAGATGTCTTTGATGAGGTGTCTTCTGTTTTCTCAAGTCACAGTTCTGAACTGGGGACAAGTTAGAGCAAACAACTCCGAATGGGTGCAAGGCAGGTCAGGCTAATTCTAGAAACCATTATAAAGTCTTCAAACCCAGTTTAAAGCATCTAAATATTTTCCACATTTTTTTTTCACAGTAAAAAAACAATTTTTTAATGTGGAAAAAATGTGGAAAATATTTAGATGCTGAGGAAGATCCACTTTGTGGTCATCTGGAACTATGAAATGGGTAATTTGGGCAGACAGCTCCCACAAGTTTTAAATGGTAGAGAAATAGCTATGCTGGCTA